TTTTTCTCGGACCACGAGTGGGAATATTGGTCTGTCTTGTCACAAAGACAGCAAACTCGACTATAGGCACCCCTGCCAGGATAGCCGAATTTTGCTCATCGAAAGGTGGAGGACACCCAAAAAAATCTTCACCAGGTGAGAAAACGATCGAAGTGACGGACTGTGCCAAAGAGATCACCCACGGTCCCGATTTTGGCAAGGATTGTGAAGCCCAGCCACGACCCATGTTTCGAGCGTTGCCACAGAACATTCAGAAGATCCTCCTTCGCGCGCGTAAGAACCTAGGCCATCCTAATCATGAGCAAATGGCAAGAGCACTGCGTGACCCAGTGGTTGGTCTCCGGCCGTACAGCAAGCTGTGCGAGACATGACCTGTGACACCTGTCACGAACAATCCCTTCCCAAAATAGCCCGACCCAGTCACTTGAAAGAAGCCAGAGATTTCAATGACTTAGTCCAGTTTGACAACTGTGAATGGAGCAACCCTCAAGGTGAACGATGTGCCTTCTACCACTTCATTGATACGGCGACGAACTTTCACATGGCCATTCCCAACAACCAGTGCCACGGAAGCGAAGAGTGATGCCTTTGCCAAGTATCTACGAGGAACAAAATGTCCAATGCCATGTTGTCCTCACGGAAGGTCATTGGCAGCTAGGCAGGGCAAAGCGCCATGGTGCCATTCTGCAAAAAATGCTGGATAAATTCCACGTTGACCGACCCATCCGATCATTGGCGGACTTCACACAGGCCCTGACGCAGATCTGCAACGCTGAGAACTCCTTATCACGAACAAAGGGGTACACACCAGAGCTGCTGGTACTAGGATGTACTAGGTAAGAATGTTCTGGATGACTCAGAAGTCGGTTCCAACGTCACAGCCAGTGAAACAGAGTCCGGGTATTTCCAAGAGCAACTAGCCATTTGCGCAGCAGCCAGGATCGCCTTCGTCAGGGCGGACAATTGTCAGAGCCTCTGAGGTAAACCAATGGGTTATGCGCTGAAAAAGGTTAATGGCATGGACCTGCCAGGGTGCTCATGATTGACGGACACAGTGTTGTTTGGATTAGCCGCCCCCGAACATATTCGAACCTTATCCAACCAAGAGTATGGTGTCCTAAAGGGGGAAGACCGCTCAGAACGACCACAAGTAACTGGCTCAGGAGTTTTCCAATTTCGGGACTTGACCACCGCCGGACATCCAAATCCCGAGCATGGGTCGACCAGTTCAGCATGTGTTGAGCCCAACCTACCTGAACCTCCAGTCTTGGAGAAAGTGAAGGGGCGCCCCTCGGTCATCCGGGAGCATACCTCATTGTCCTCAGAGCGCCCAGTCGGAACGTCACCCACACGCAAACCAGATTCAAGGACCCCGACCAATGAGTGTCACAGGACCAGATGAGCCCGTTGATCCTGCCACAGTGCCCCTACCGGACGAAGCCGATGATCTCATTGCAGAGCATGCATCACAAGACTTTTGGGAACAACAAGAAGATCGCGTGATTCGACACCATGTCAATCCACGATTGCGATTATTTTTGCCATCCGACAGTCTCACGCGCCCGTGGCCTCTGCATCAACTAGGCACCCGCATCACCCAGGGGGTATTCAGGGATAACAATGTGTTTCAAGATCATTGGCGGGATAACCCACCGCTGTTTGACCGATATTTGGACAGGCGCCACCACTTTTTTCAAGAACAAACAACCAAGGTCAAGTGATCATGCCTACCATGTTGTCAAATGTTGAAACCAAAACGGGAGCGATCATTGAGATTGCTCTCAGCGCCGAAGAGATCACTCAGTGCTGCCAGAAGAAATATGCCGACCAGGTCGCCTATCTTGCCTCTCAGGCGAAACGACAAAAGGTCGAAGTTCGCACGCATGAGCTCAACCCAGACGAGAAGAAACAATTCCTGGGAGCCAAGCACAAGGAGGTCGACCAGTGGCTCGCCACAGAGACAGTTCGCCGAACTGCCCGTCACAAGATCCCCGAAGAAAATCTCCTCAAGACTAGATGGGTATCGTCGTGGAAACAACTCGACCCTCAAGAACAAAAAGAGACTGGACGCACTAGGAAACCCAAAGCGCGGTTGGTCATTCTGGGTTTCATGGACCCCTCCATTGAAACTTTGGATCGCGACGCTCCAACCTTAGGGAGAGATAGCAGATTTCTCATCATGCAAGTCTTGGCAAGCGCACGCTGGGGTGTCCAGTCCTTTGATATCAAAACTGCGTTCCTTCGCGGAAGCCGTCGCGACAATGGAGTACTGGGTATAGAACCCCCTGAAGAAATGCGGGAACGCATGCACCTCCAGCCACATCAGGCTTGTGAACTTTTCAAATCTGCATACAATCTAGTGAGCGCGCCACTCTTGTGGTACACAGAGCTAACGACAGCCCTTCTCTCATTTGGTATATCCCCCCTAGACCCCTGTGTCTTTGCACTGCCGAAAACGGAGTACCAGAATGGGAAGACTGACGCTTTGGCCATTCACGGGATTTTGGGTGTTCAGTGTTCACGTGGACGACGGGATTGGAGGTGGAGACCAAATCTTTGAAGATAAGATCCGACAGCTAGTCTCGATATCCTTTCGGGAGCAAACGCAAGCAGGACATGATCTTCGCAGGATTGCATATACACCAGGACCCTTCCGGTCTGATCCAAGTTGACCAGAAGGACTATGTGCATGATATCCCTAGCATTCATGTGTCTAGAGAACGACGCCAAGAGCCTAAATCTCCGGTCAGCTTCAACACTTTCGTGTGCTCATAGGTCGTCTACAGCACGAAGCAACTAATACCCGACCTGACATCTCGTGCCGATTAAGCCTTCTTCAAGCCAAGATTCCCACCGCGACGGTTCAAGACTTACTTCAGGTAAATCGCTTGTTGACGGAAATTAAGAACTTTGCGGAAGTTCGTGTGAAATATCAACCTATACCAATAGATCAAATTCGTTCGTTTCTTTTTCGGATGCCGCTTTCGCATCTCGCGAAAAGGCACATTCTCAAAAAGGGTGCATCATATTCGCCGCGGATAGCACGATTGACCAAGACCAAGCAGCACCCAGTCCCATCACGTTGTTTTCTAAGAAAATCAACCGTGTTGTGGGCAGCACATTGGCCTCAGAGACCTTTGCTTTGTCAGGCGCCCTAGACATCCTTGGCTGGATTCGCTTGCATTGGTCCTGGGCGGTCAGACGAAACGACCTTGGCTGCATTGCCGAAAGTGTATGCAGTGGTTGATTGCAAGAGTCTGTATGACCTTCTGCAGAAGACATCAGTTCCACAATGTTCTGAAGATAGAACCATGCTTGAAGCGTTGATCATCAAGGACCGACTAAGCTCAAGCCGCTGATGGATTAACCAAAGACATGGATGTCACTCCACTTCGCCTGTTCTCGAACAAAGGGAGTGATGCTGACGTCATTTTGCAGCAGAGGGCCGATAAGCGACTCCGAAGCAAATGGCTGGCACAAGAATTCAGAGATTTTGTAGGAGTGTGACTTGCATGACATTTTGTCCACACCACCGTCGACTCGCAGAGTGCTTCGTGAAAGCCATTCATGTTTGCCCGTTGCCTCCCTCTCAAGTCAGGGGGCTGGGCGTGTGACCCATGGAGGCCTGAGGACAGGCCTTGTCTTGGAGTGGCTGTGGACAGCCCTTTTGTGGTGATCAGCCGTGGACGGCCCTTGGAAAGCAAAGGAAGAGAAAAGGCGCGAGGACGCGCAGTCAGAGAAGGAGAGAGGGCGAGGAAGCTACCAGCGTAGATACCTATATATCTACAATATATACTTAAAAAAATATGCATCCTTCTCCTGCGTCTCCTTCCTTTCCTTCTCCTTCGCTTTCTTCTTTAGTCTTAATTTCTTTCCAATGTGTTCTTATTGTTGTTTTTATTGTGAATGTCCAAAAGGTTTCCTGACTCGGGTGCTGGGAGTTCCCGACTCTGGTGTAGGTTTCCTGACTCCGTCTTCTCCCCCATTGATCCTGCTCTAGCCTTAGTAAGTGAAAGGGATTGAAAGGACATCTAACTAAAATGGACCCTCCATTTGACTGAAAGTGCAGGGATAGGAAGAAAGCAACCAGACTGCTGTACGCTTGGCTTAGCATGCAGGTTTCCTCCTGCTGTTACCCCACGTATCCCCTGATGATGTCAACCAATGAAAACCGCTGCAGCTACATAGCTGTCCTGTCAATAACCTTATTCCAAAAACACATCTTCAAAGTGATCCAAAAGACAGACTGCGTGAATTAGCAGGTTTTATGGACACGGCGCCCGCAAAAGGGCACCGAACTGCTGACCTCATGATGAACCCGCGCCAATTTGGTCCAATCTCAATGCTCTCAGCGCTGGCAATTTTGAGGCCAAAAAGTGGCGGTCCGATGGGCGGGGAGCTCAATCGTAGTTTAGCACCAAGATGAGTCATGTGAGGGTGTCGGGGCAGGTAGGCAGGGAGGTAGGTAGGTAGGCAGGTGGGTAGGCAGTAGGTAAGCAGTAGATAGGAAACACCGTCGCGGGCGGATGCAGAAGGAGACAGCCGGACAGTAAGTAGTGGCGCTCAATTGTTCTGGCTCAGTTTGTCATAGAGAAAGAGAGAGAGAGCAATCTCATCTGGGCTACTGGGCTGCTTTAACATTGATGGGGCTTTCATGTGAGGGTCTAAGATCACTGTTTCTGATGGTGGCTGGATAAGCGCAGGGCAGTGCCACATTAAGCAATGTCGAGTTGGCTAAGTGCCAAATTTCAGAGAACTTGCTTGCATATTTCATGTCGGATTTGGTAAGCGTCAGTGGCTTTATTGATGATGGATTTCGCCCATCAACAGTAGGTCCATGTGGGGCGCCGTACATCTGCTAAAAGCTCAGGTTTTGCACTGACTTCTGGCGAGCGCCATGCAAAAAACCTTTTGTCTTCGAAAGCTGGCCTTGCGGCCTTGAATGATATTGAATAATAATTGTGTCATAACTGTTAAAAGTGCCCTGTCTCCGACCAAGCCTGAATCACAATGAAAGCTGCCGGGCAGCTGAACCTTGGATAGCAACATCAGTCTTCCGAAGCCGTTCAACGCATTATGACATGCGTCTGCAAGTTTTTGAGCTTATTCGTCTTGCGTGAAACTGAGTTTGGGAAGCACCTGCAGAAACACACAGAACATGCAAATATCAGCCTCCAGAAACATACAGAGACATACAGAGACCCCTCCTCCATCAAAAAACACTCATCAAATCAAACACCTGGCCTTGTTGGAATATTAGTTGACTCCATACTTAGGTTGACTCCATACTTAAGGTCCAATTAAATGTGTTTGATATCATTGTAAAAAAAGATTGAGGGTGACCAACAAGGGTGTGTATCTTTATTGATTTGAGGCAAAATTCCGTCGGAAAGTAACCCCTCCTCAAACCCTCACATCACCTTCCAATTAATTGCAATGACTGTTTTCTGCAGTGCACAGTGCACATGCTGGTATCTGCCTCAGGTTTTCTTCTTGTACTTGTATGGTTGGTATGTTCCACGTGGTTTTGCCTTCCTCTTGAGCCTACCAGTTTCCATTCAAATCCAACCCTTCTCAAGGGGTCGCCCCCCACAAATCTATTTTCGAACAACTATCTTCATCCTGTTGTTTGTTTTTGGGTTTGTCAGCTTCTTTCCACTCAAATCCAAGCCTTCTTGAGGGGCCCCCCGCCACTCAATTAATCCCACGTTTCCTGCGTTCACTGTTCTTGGCTGCTGCGATCCTTCCTATACCAGCTCAAAAGCCTGACCTAGGTATCTACAAAGAATAAAACCTTGCGACCTGCCAACTTGCACAACAAATCAAGTGCAAGGTTTAGCGCATCTGCCTCACTCCTCAATTCACTAAAGCCCTCCCAAATTAATTTTGCAAAAATGATCTGAGGTGGGTCGCCTGCTTTTCAAGGATATCAAAATGCAACGCTGGATTGTTCATAATATACGGGGATTCGGATATTGAAAATAGTCAGTGGGTATGTCGCGGTCACCACTGATCAATTTCGCTAAGTCCTTTCCAGCGTAGACCACTGGAAAAAGAAACTGTGGAAGACAATCACAAAGGTCAGTCTAGCCAGGCTCTTGTGCTTGAACGAATGCCACTAGACATGTCTCATCACACCTACTTCAATGCCTGATTTTCATTGATTTTCTATGCAACCCTGCAGGGTTACCCCTACGTCCCTACTTCGTCTTTTCGGCCAAGGTCCCAGCCTCAGCAGTCATGATGGTGTTTACAGTAACTTCCACCCGCCTCATTCCGGACTGTATATAGGTGGGCCACTTTCATGCGACCTACACAACCCACGAGCCCAAAGACATGCAAGAGAGGCGACCCGAACAATCCAGCATGGCGTCGAACTCCGAGACATGTCGAAACATGTCGAAACCTAATCTGTCTACATCACTGTCGGTCCAAGTCTTGTCCAAGAAGAGAATCGCAAAGTGGTGAGAAGCTATCGCGTGTATGTACTGTACATACAGCGGCATCCAAACCACAAAATTGCTTGAAAAGATGGGCCGATTGTGTGCAAATGCCCTGGAAATGTCTGCCGTGCCAACGGAAGGAAGTTCGTGAAGCATCTTGCAGTCCCTTGCACTGCTACTCAAATTGCGCGTCACAAGATGAATCAATTTGGAAGTACCTACATAACTGCGTTGAGCATCTCTGGAATGGGCAAAGCAAATCATTCCACCACCGATCGAAAGACCTGCTCATGACCCTGGTGGTCAGCAGCTCTGGCACGGCGTGCTGAAGGAACCAACGTGTATTTGAAATCGCCTGCAGTCACAAGGAGTAACGAAATCAGGCTGTTCAACGACTCCTCCGACGATATATGCAGATTTATGCAGGTTCCTGTTTGCACCGGGCGTCCTGCTCCGTGCGTGTTTGGGGAGGCTTCATGAGCGTCAATGCCACCCAACTGTACCCACTCTTATTCATCAAAAGTCGGTGCCCCGGCGGGGCTGTCATCAAAGCCAGAAGGCCAGTCAACAGCTCAGCCGACACACAAGGACACCCCCAACACAACCGGAGACAGCCGGAAACAACCAGACACAGCCGGAGACATGGCAAAAGAGACGCCCAATCAACCAACGGAAGGCAACCGAAGACACTGACTGAACCAGCCCAGCACAACCGAAGACGGCTGAAGACCAGCAGCGCAAACCCTACAGCTGCAAAAACACCCTCATTGAAAGGAGTAAGAACCCCTCGTCCCTCACACTGCCAGCTTCTGCGCAAAGAAAAAAGGCGGGCACTATTTGTTGTGCACAACCTCCGGGGCGAAACACAAATGAAGAAGACAGCATCCGCAGCCTGGCTCGCCCAAAGCGCCCCCGGGACAAACGCTATAATTATATGTGGTTGGTTTCCAAAATGTCTTTTCCCAAAATGGTGCACTCATCGCAATTCCATGGGGGCCCGCTTCTACATCTCCTTTAAACTCCAACCACACTCAAACCGCAGGGATGTTCAATATGAAAGCATGTCAACTGCAAAAATTGTGAGAGGTGTCTAGCGCGGACCTTTTCAGGGGCCTGTTAAGCTGCTGGAGCTGTTGTTGCTGCTGCTGCTGCTGCTAGACTTCTGCAGTTGTTTCCAATTCTCATGATCAGAAGTCTTCAGAACGACATAGGAAGGACGTAAGAGCTGACTCAAAACATTGAGGTGTTGGATGGGCAGATGGTCAAGAAATGGACCGTTGTCTAGCGCGGTGCTAGCGCGGATCTAGCGCAAAAATATCCGTCGATTTCCTCATCCTGTCAGGTTCTTAGTTTTCCTGCTTGCTTGTCTTCTTCTTGTTGTGCAGTATTCTTCTTCTTCTTCTTTTTAGTTTTCCTTCTTCTTCTTCTTCTTCGTCTTCTTATTCTTCTTTGTTTTTCCTTTTTCTTGTGGTGCTTCTTCTTTTTCCTGCTCTCTGCGTGCTTCTTCTTTGCTTATCCTGCTATGAAGAAACCTAGCGCCAACCTAGCGCCAATCTAGCGCTGCCTTGCTGTATCACCATAGTCTGCTGGGGGCCCGCTTCTAAACGAAGACTTAAAACTCATCTCCAACCCTAAAAGCTTACGTTTATCTAAAATTTTTGAGTAGGGCTTTTTGAGTGCAGTCCATGTACATATATTTTCACACGCGCTTAATATTTAAGCCTGGAACAGGCACGTCCTAAGCCTGACGCTTTTCAAAGAGCATCTCCACCATTCTTTCTCGATTCTTCTTCGGGTTCATTGGCGCCTCATCTGCAGAACTGTGATGGACGCCACCCAAAATGCAATATACCAAATATTTGTGTTCTGCGCCACGCAAATATGGTGTGGGCAAACCAGCCTCTGTGACAATGCACGCTTGGTCCTCTGGGTTGACCCGCAAAGCATCAAAGAAGGTATGGTGCCACACCTAAAACAACAACATACGTGAACCACATAAACGGATCAGGTGAGAAACGTAAATAAAAAGTTTCAGGCCTTCTCCATCTCTGACCAGTCCTTCACCACGCCGTGCTCAATCTGAGAATCCAGCACAGTACAAGGGTTTGACAAGCAAACAGTGCAATATATTATATGTTTATCAACAGTCACTCCATATTTTTTACACCTGAAAGGCTGATATGAAACGGTCCGTTTTCGTTTCTCCATCTACCTTCGCCACACATTATGTAACACACAAATGCCTTCGTAAACATTTGGTGAGTTACAGTCCAATCTAATTTTTATATCATTCGGGAAAAAAACACTCTCCCTTTAATCACAAACCCGAGCCGATAACAAAGCAAACTGAACGCGCAACGAAACTAGTGACATAATTTGACATCAGTTCCGACCAGGGTTTGGCAGCGACCTCTCGACAATCCATTTCCTGTCGCTAATTAAGGCCCAGACCGGGTATGACAATGTCAGCACACCACGCCTTGATACCGCTTCCTCTCCCAAATAGTAGTCTTTCTTGTCGGTTCCTGCCCCAATATATCGGATTTTCTTGGGCATTCTGGGAAACCGATAGAACTGATGAAGTTGCTGCGTTCAACACAGGTCCTGGCATCATTGCTCCATGTTTGGGTTTCCCCACAACCGCAGGGAAGATGCATCGTGGTGCCTCTTCACCTGCAACGCCAGCCTCAAACGCACAACGCACACTCTGACATTGGTTTGCTGTTAACTCAATTCCCACGGTGAGAAGGAAGGCCAGGGAAACGCAAGGTGAAAAGGTCAGCGCAACTGAATAGTTCAACAATCTGTTCACTTGTCTGCAGAAACGCGGCTGAAAGACGGCGGCAGAAACCTGTTTGAGGGGAGAGTATCGTGATCAACAACCATGGCGTCAAAACACAGCAAGGAAGAGTGGAGTAGTGTCACGGTGCAGGTACGTCATCAGGCGTCCCTGATGATATCCTAGGAGCCCGTGAGGAGCTTCGTTGGATGGAGCCTCACGTGTCCTCTCCATCCCCCTGCTTGCATATCTGGACAAAAAGCAGCACCCTTTGGAACAGGGGCCGACACACACAGGAAGCCGTAGTCGGCGTGAATGCGTGAGACGGTGGCATCGTGCTCCTTTTCTCAAAAACCGCCGGCATGCTGTTGGATCATGTCCTTTGTGGACATACAGCCGGATAAGCTCTTCAGCCGCTGCCGCTGCATTGTGTGGTGGAAAGGTGTATGTGAAAATTGCATGGAGTCTGGAAGCTAAGCCGGAAAGAGCCAAGCACTGGCTACCGGCGCTGGTGTGGTCCCTGATTTTCCAGGGTTGTGTGGGTTGGATGTAGGTGATGGTTCGTTGTGGTAGGTCAATGTTGAAGCCCAGGAGGTGAAAGTCGTCGACTGTTTCAAGTTTCACTGGGTCGCCGAAAAAGTTGTGGTGGATGAGGGTCTGGATGGCTGGGTGGGAGAGGAAGTGTTCGTTGCGCACGATGAAACGGTTGTCGACGTACCTGCAGTATGTGAAGTGGAGAGCAGTGTGCTGGAGAAGGTTGTTGAGGAGTTGATGCCAAGAGTGTTCAATGAGGGTAATGGCGACGTTGCAGAGGGCAGGAGAGAGCTGGGAGCCAATCCCAGCCCCTCGAATTTGTTTGTAGGTGTTATTGCATGCCCGGAAAATGCAGGTGTTGAGTGCGAAAGCAACGATAGTTGTGATGTCGGGGGTGTGAAGGGTTCGTTGCGTAGGATGTCTTGTGTGGTGTCTGCCGACGTGGGAGTGGTGGAAGGGGTTGCCAGTGGCTTTGGTGTCAACAGTCAAGGTGTGTGTAGTGTTCTGGCGCTGCCACTGTTGGATCATAGAATGGACGGCATCAATGAGACGGTGTTGGGGCACTGAGTTGAAGAAGCCAACTAGGTCATCGTTGGTGGCGTGTAAAGGGATGTCAGCCAGTGTGTGTGTGTCAGGTAGCAATGGAAGTGGCGCCAGAGTTGTGGGATGGACAGCTGGCCTGGATGTTGTGGGAAAAGGTGTTGCAAAATGATGTCGAGTGCTGGGCTGGTGATGCGTAGAAGGTTGCCACAGCGAGTGGAAGTACGCCAGCGCTTCTTTTCTTTGAGGTGGACAATGCCGTATGGGATTGTAAAATCTTTCTTGAATCCCCATTTGTACCGGGAGCGTAGGGTGGTCGGGATGGTGGCGGAGAGGTAGTCGTGGATGTTGGAGGAATGGAGATGTGGAAGGGGTTCGAAAAGTTCTGGAGCTTGCCAGGTGTTGAGCGCTCCGGCGAAGTATTGTCGTGGGCAGAAAATGCGGAGCTGTTGGAGTTCGTGGTCCGCATGGTGGAGCACGACCTTGTCACCTAGGTATTCTTGAAGCTGTCGGATGAGGCGGGCTGTGAAGCGCGGTTGTTGTTTGAGGTGTGCTGTGTGAAGCCGCCATTGGTGCTGAAGAAAAGGCTCCAAGTGTTGGCTGAGTGAGGTCGGAAGACCTTGTATCCGAAGCCATTTGGTGAAGGCTGTTTGAAAGGTGAGAAAGTATCTGGCTTTGCTAGGGTAGAAGGTGCTGTTCATGTTGGCTGCAAGGAAAATGCGAAGGTGTGGTGGTAATGTCAGTTGGTCCAGGGTGAGAATGTAATGGTCGTTGGTGGTGATGGTGGCTGGATCAAGAAGGAGAGCATGGAGATGTGAGCAAGCACACGGAAGATCATTGGGGTCTGGAGGGGTGTGCAAGGTATCTTCCCACGCGGGGTGGTTGTGTAGCTGGGCTCGAAGTGTTTTGTGAGCAGCTTCACGTAAGCGATGTGTGGGAAGGTGGAGTGGGATAGCCAAATGCTTGTGTTGTTGGATGGTGGTCTGGAGCCACTGCTGGCAGTGCTTGGCGAAATCATCATGAGCCAGGAACGGGACTGTAAGAGGAATGTTGGGCTTGGGAGGTGTCAGATTCCTGTAGTGAAGTGCTTTGTTGATAATGTGCATGGCTCGGGTGCGACCTGGTTCTTCGAGGTTGGAGGCCATGCGAGACTTCTAGGTCGGTGTGACGGCCGCTGCGAAGTTGCTTGGCTGCTTCAAAGGAGGCCAGTGTGTGCTTGGTAAGATTGCGAAGAAGAGTGAGGGCATGGTGTTTGGTGCAGGTATGGCTCTCGGATTGTCTGTTGCCGTCTGCGAAGTTTTCGAAAGAGGCGCTTGTGCGTGGCTAAGCGGGAGTAGAAATGCGCCCGGCGCTTGGTAAATTGCCAGCCTTCGGCTTTGAGCTTGAGATGTTGAGAGATGAAGGGAGTTGAGAGGTGGCATCCAGTTGGAAATGAAGTGATGTTCTTTGATCCAGGGAGGAGAGTTGAATAGGGGTGAAGTGGTGCAAGTTGCCATGGGAGTGCCAGTAGCGTAAGGAGAGTTCCGCGGAAATTGGGATATTGTTTTGGAGTTGCTTGAGCTTGGCGCGGCGATTATGTTCACGGTGTGGTATGCCGATGGCAGTGGAGCCCAAATAAAAGTGGCCATGTTGATGGTAGCATCGTTGTGGTGTGATGGTGTTGAAGTGGAGTTTGACGTAGACGGAGAGAAAGTTGTGGTAGTGGTACGTGTGAGGAAGCACTTGGAGGTGCCGTAGGCGCTGGCGCCATTGCTGGGAGCGTTGGGTAGACGATGGATAGCAAAACAGAAGGGTGATGTGAATGAGGCCGACAGCAAAGATGGCTTCGGCTCGTTCTATGTATTGGCAGTGGTGGATGAGTGTGGAAAGGGCTCCGTGTAAGTGGTAGAGTTGAAGTGTGTGTTGTGCGGCTGCAAAGAGAGAGTCAGCAGGCGACAGCTGCCCCTATGCTGACGATGCGCTGCAAACTCTTGATGGTGAGTTGTTGACACGGTTGAGTGGCAAACCATATCGAGTAGCCGCTTCCTTCAGCTGGTCAGTGGTGACCTTGCTTGTTTGGAGGACGCGAAGCACTTCTTTGGCGGATTTTTGAATGGCTGGGGCTGTCCATGAGTCTGGGGAATCGTCTTTTAAAGACGGATGGGGTGGTTGGAGGACGTCTGCCAGCACGGGAGGCTTGTGGACTGCGGGTTCTGCTGGAGCGGCTGGTGCACTGGCGGCATCCTTGCGGGGTGTGAGTTCGACGCCGTGGGCCTGGAGCTTTTCGCGGGCTCTGGCTATAGGTCGTCCGAAGTGGCTTTTAGGGCACGAAGGGCGGAACCTTCGGCCGCTGCTGGGGCGTGGGCTTGAAGTTGCTGAGCGATGAGGGAAATCAGTGGAGCGTGGAAGGCGCGGGCTTGGGTTGTTTTGTTGGGGGCCGCTGTGCCCTGAGAGGCATGGATGGCTTCCGCGATCGCATCCAGGTCAAGGCGTTTGTCTCGAATTTCTTGTCTCAGGTGAGTTGTGAAACTCAGCAATGCTGCGTGTCGGAATGAGGCCACAATATTTTCCGTGGCTCAAAGTCCTGGCTGTGTAATCGGCCGTACCGTGGTAGGCGAGAAGCCATGGAAACACATCGAAGGTGGGAAGTCCGGCGATGCCGACACGGCGTGACCATTGTGTGGGCTGTATGGTGCGGTGAAGTTGATGGCCGTGTAATGCATTGGAATCCCAATGAGAGTCTGTGGGATGCCATGAGTCTTGAAGTGTTGGTTGGGGAAATGGGATTGTGGACGGTGGTGCAGGTGGAGCCGGATGAGTGGGGCTGTGCTTGAAAGAGGTGGCAGTCGGAGTGGCAGGGGCAGCTGTTGGAAGCTTGCTGGTTCGTAGAAGGCGATGGAGTGTGTGCTGGTTGTGACGTGGTGGGCGATGGAGTGTATAGGGATGGTGTTGGTGCGCCTGTTGGGTGCGTACCGAGTGGGTCATAGGTCCATAGGTGCCCGTGGGTGTGTATTGGTGGGTGGCTTGGCTCTGTTGCGTGGCGGGGCGCTGTTGTTGCTGTTGTTGCTGGAGAAGATAATGTTGCCAGCGCAGTAAAACTGTTGCCACTGCGCATCCATGTTGTCGAAGGATCGGGCTCAACGTGAAAGAGTGGGAAGCGGACAGTTCGAGCAAGAAAGCTGTGGAGAGAAGAGTAACATGGACGCGAAAAACTCCTGTCGTAGATGGTCGAAATTATTGGGTAGATTGGAAAATACTGCCAGCAATGATTGTGAAAACCGAAAAGGTCGGCGATTGGTGGTGAGAGTACAGGTCACATGAAGCATTGACTGCTCTGATTTTTCGTGGTGCTGGGTGAAACAACGAGCGGTCGCAGCATGGAAGTATGTCCACAGAACGTTTGGCAGCATACTAGTAATGAAAGAAACAAGTCGGTTGTGACGAGGACGCATACAATGAATTAAAAAAGGAAATGAAAGGTGGACCGTGAATTGAAATTGAAATTGAAGAAGCTATAGAAAGTGGGCTACGAGGCGGCCTCAGGCATCTCAGTTCCCATAGTTGTTCCAGGGGTCATCTTCAGGGAAATAGGGCTGCTGCTGGGGTGGCAAAGGGCGGCCGTTGGAATCGTAAAGGACCCTGACTCGCTCAGAGGATGCCATGGGCGGTGTTGAATATGGCTGTTGTGGCTGCGGAGTGTCTCCGCGGAAAACGGGCTGCTGGTAGAACGGTGGTGATCATGGGATTGCGGTGGAAATTGCTGTGGCTGATAAGGTGCGGGCCATGGGCGAGTGACTGGGTTGTAGGTGGTCGGAGGTGCCGTGCTGGGGTATGGGGCCTGGCGGTGGCGGACG